AAACAATGTTTGCTTGAAAACTACAATCATCGAAAGAAGTATGGGACATGAGACACGTTCATGACACTTTTCTTAAAGAAGAACAATATGAGGCTACAATGTCTGTAGAATTAGTTGTTATCTCACAATGTGACATGGCGATTGCTAGTAATTCCACAGGGTCAAGTCGATCTATCAAGAAATTACTAAACTAGATTCAGAGTCCCTTCATTGGAGAAGCTCAAATGAAGAGGACCACATCCATGGATTGCGACCAGAATGTAGAAGTTTTATTATTGCTATACAAGGATAGTCTACTCAACCATTATTTATAGAGTTTGAAAAAGTATTAGCTAGCCAAGAAGCCGTGACTAAGAAAATGGGAGGTATCACATTGAAGGGTGAAGAAGAAGCACTCTACACAAGAATGTTGGCTAAGTAAAAAGTCATCTGGGAACTACACAACCTGGGAGAGCTCAGAAGAACGACAGCAAGATCTCTCAAGGGATGAGATTTGAAGGCATTTGCTAAAATTATGGAAATAAGGATCACAAGTCGAAGGATTGCTCATACAAGAAAAAGTTCGTCGAAAGCAATGCAACAACCTCCAAAAAAGGAGATAGAGGATGAGTGGGAAACAAAGGTACTATGTACCTTAGAAAAAGAAGAGTAGTGCTCATGGCGATGAGAGAGCATATTGATGATGAAAATGATTGGATCATTGATTCAAGGTGTTCAAACCACATGATTGGCAATCAGAATAAAGTCTTACAAAACTCGAACAACCGTGAAGAAATTCCATGATAGAAGATGGGAACAAACTGCACACATTTGGTAAAGTGATTCAACCAAATGTACTTGGTGAAAGGGAAATGACACCTCAACAACTTAGACGGTTAGAAAGAATCCATAAGCCAAATCTTAATTATGTCAATACAACTATTGTAGAAGGCAAAGTTAAAGAGTCATAGATGTATGAAGAAGCATCACAAAACTCGACTTGGCAAAAGGTGGTGGAGGAAGAAATTATCGATTTGTATCTCTAGGGTTCTCTCAACAATATGGACTAGACTATGATGAAATGCTTAGTCTAAAGGTAAGGATCACTATTGTATGGGTCCCACTAGCATTTCAGGCAAGTAAAAATTGAGAATTATGGTAGATGGATACGAAGAATGATTTATTGCATGAAGAGTTGGACTGGGACCTACATTAAACAAACAAAGAGATTTAAGAATGCAATTTGATTCATTAAGTACATGCAGAGCTCGATTTTGGAATAATTTCTTGGTGCAGCAAAAAAAAATGTTTGGGATTTATGTCGTAAAGCCTCGTAATTAATTATTTAGTTTTTAACAATAATATTTATTATTTTATTTGTAATTTAATTGTAATCCGTAGTATGAAAATCCAAGGTTATTAATGTAATCTTATATGTGGTTGACGTACAAGAAGATCGTATTCAAGTAATAACCTACAGAGTCTATAGTATATGGATAAGGTTGGGTGTCTTATCATAGTAACACTATTGATATGACCCACTTTGTAATCATTATAAATGATTTGATTCAAATCGTTCATGTGTAGACATGTAAGTAGGGGTATCCTATACAATGAGTTTATATAAGACTGGACCAAGAAATATTTAATCTCTCTTTATAAATTTGTTAATTGAGAAGATTAATACTTCACATGATGATCATATGCGACTCAATCTTAATCTTGGAACTTCTCGTTGCGAGTGTTTGTCCTTTAATTTAACTAGGTGAGAATGACTCTTTTAGTCGATTCAATAGGCCTACTATTTTGGGGACTTTGACCATTTTCCATATAAGGAAAGTATATGAGTTGTTCTCTTAAGTGATTTCGGGACTTGAACAATGGGCTCCACCCTCTCACTGCGTCGGGAGGGACTTGTTTATGATTAAATCATAAAAAAATTGTTCATTAGAGAATCAGTGGTACTTAAGGTGAAATATGTAATTACAGGGGTAAAACGAACTTTTGACCCAGCTATACTTATGAACCACTCATGAAAGATCGACTTGTTTGTAATGATTATATCAATGGACATAACTTGTCCTACAGTGGAGTGACTTATAGTTAATGAATGAACATTGATTAATTAAAGAGTTTATAATCTTGAGGTCTATAAGGTCCCCTTGTAGCTCACATAGTAATGTTAAAAAGTTCAATTTATTTGAAAGAAAATTTGAAGTGTTCAAATTTATATTTAATATATTAAATATATTAAAAATAAAGGAAAAAATAAATTTAATTTGAAATGTCAAATTAATATATTAGATATATTAAATAAATAAATAAAATATATTTAATTTGAAACGTCACATTAATATTTAATATATTAGATAAGTTAAATATAAATGGAGAAAATATATTAATTTGAAGGGTTCAAATTAATATTTAATATATTAGATATATTGAAAAGGAAAAATATATTTATTATATTTTGATACAGTTAAATATTAAATCTATTAATGTATTTTGATACATTAAATAAAAATACATTCGAAGTTTTATTGAGATTCAAATTAATTAAATATATATTGAGATAATTATAATATCTAAAGTATTATATTTTAATATATTAAATATGCAAATATATTATTTAGCAAATATTCTAGAAGAGTCTCTTCAGGTTGAGTAAAACACACTAATCTCCTCCACTTTCTTTAGAAAATGAAATTACATCTCCACAAATTAAAACGGTTTCCAATGCTTTCGTTACGTGGATGAAGAATTCATTCCCTTACAAAAAAATAACCAATAATATCATTGTCAATTATAGAAGCGTCGACAGTGTAGTAGCGGTAGAAGTTTAGGAATGTAGAGGGTGAAACTCTTGATGGAGTATTTGTACCAGAAAGTTGACTATCTAGTACCACTTCATTACAACAATTAATCTGCGATCCACCTAGCATAAAAATTGACGTTTCATGCTAGAACAAATCATGTAGAGGTGCACTATCATTTTATTAGAGAGAGTCCTCAAAGAATTAGACGGATGACCGAGTGACGATCTTGTTTACAAAAGGATTGAATATTGTCAAATATGATGAGTATTTTCAGTGTCAACTCAATATGGTGCAGTGAATGAGACTAATGCTCAGAGGAGTGTTAAAAGATCATCGTTGTTATGTCATATAAATTTACCAAATAAAACAAAAATATCAATCAATATTACTAATGTGGATATAATAATAATAATAAGACATTTTAATTTATTTTAAAAGGGGGAAATGCATAAATGTTGGTTAGGTCTCCCACGTATATTTCTCCCATTTCTATAATATTTTTTAAAAATTATTTTTTATTTTCTAATATAATTGATATTAAAACATATTAATAACTTTAAAAATATTTTATAAAAGAATATAATACTCAAGTAAATAAATAAATAAATAAATATATAATTATTTATTTACTTATTATATTATTATATTATGGCACAAAACTAACTCATATATATTTATATTAATTTATATTAGATATATAAATATAAATATTAATATTCATCTAGATATATTTATATATAAAAGTGGAAAGATGATCATTAATATGAGGGGTAGTTTGGCACATTTACCCTTTTGCACTTGCATTTAAAACTGTAATAATATTAATATCAATATAACTAAATTTTAAAATTTTAATTTTTTAAAAGAGAAATTTCGTTTCCCGCGCATATAAATACCCAAGTTTGAGAGCGAGAAGAGCCTGTTTGAATCTCAAAGCAACGGAAACGAAATAGGCTCTGCAACTTATACAACGTACATGGGGAAGAAACTGAGCATAGCCTCTGCACGAGATCGAGTGGTTACGAGATCTCAATCCATTGCCATGGAGCGTGAGAAAATATCATCATCGCCAAATCCAGTTGTTGCTGTAGAGCCGGAAGGAATGGTAAAGCGAATGCGAAGAGATATTAAGCCGATTCATTCTTGCAGCTCTCCTCGTTCCACTTTTCTTACTGCTCATTCTTCTGCTTCCTCCTCTGCATCTTCGTCTGCCTGCTGGTTCGTTCTCTTCCTCTTTCTGTCTCCATCCTGATAGACGCTGTTCGTAGGTAATTTCAGTTCTGATACGAGTTTCGCGCGTAGAAATGTGTCTGCCTGTGAAGGTAAATGCCTATGTGTTTTTTAGCATTGTAATAGTGAGGAAATTCAAATTTGATTTTCTAGAAGTGATTTGAATATCTTAGTTCAGAAATTGAAATGTGAAGTTATTTCCTCGACTTTAGACTCTTTGAGCTGATTGTGAAGTTGCATTAGTTTAGTACTGCCAAGGACTTGGAAGTAGTAAGAAATGAACAATTCGAGTTGTTTCTGAGAGATTCCGAAGCTCAAAGTGAACGTCTGTAGAGTTAAATCTACGCAGCATAAACTTGTTCGTTTTCTCCATCGGGAGAAAACGATGGAGAAGAAACGTTTATTGTTGTGATTTTAGAATTTGCAGACTGAATGTGACAATCTTTGTTGGAAACCATTACGCGTTGATGAACACTTTCTGGAGCTCTATAAAGTTAGTCGCAAGTACAGTTAGTAATATAAGTAGGATGCCAAATCTTCAGTATAGTTTGAAGTGATTATTTGTCACAAGGATCGAAGCAGTTACAGGACTTGCATTTTTTACCTTTTTATCTAATCACTTCTGGAGCTCTATCTAAAGCTTGTTCAGCACTTACATACTTTTTTATCACAAAGTATTCCGAGTCCCCTAGTTTTCTTCTTAACTTCATCTTTTACTTTTCTATGTGTTGGTTCTTGGTTCTACTTAAGATTTCAAACGTGATTGTTCTATCTTTTTACATATTCAATTTTAAACCAGTTATTATTTCAGTTTTAAGTAATCGAAAGTTCATTTGTTATTTACCATTAGTCTGGCTTAACTTTGGTAGATCGGGAATAAGATTGATGAATCACGTGAATTAGAAATTGTTTCTATCACTTTGAATATTTCATCGGAAACAGAACTAAGGATTAATATGTAATTTAACCTTCCGTATGACAATTTCCGCGAATGAACATGAAAGGTATGACGCGGACGTGTGGACAGAGGTGGCGAAGTTTCTGGATGGAAGATCTTTGATGATGCTTGCGGCGACTAGCCGGTGGTTTTATCGTTTAGTCATGGAAGACAGCATATGGAAGTATGTTTGCCTGCGTGATCTTCAGGTCCCTGCTCCTCAAAACACGGCCTTCAAATGGATCAAGCTCTACGTTTCTGCCTTCGGTAAGGATCGGATTCGAGTTCTTTGAGTTCTGTATTCCTGCTCTGGTCAATATGTATTGCGTTTGCTTAACTATTCAATGATCTCTGTTCCAGATGGAAGTCACTCTTACATTTTCCGGCAGCAGGAGAAACATCTCGGTGAGTGATTGTGATTCCACCCGACTCCTGTAAATAATTAGGCGCGGATTGTACTTAAAAATAAAACTATATGTCAAGGACCTGCTTAGCCACGGGTTCTGTCTAATCTTGTCATCACATCTTACCTAATAACTAGATATTCAAGCTTTATTCAACCATAACTCATGTCATTATAGAGGGTGGAGGTAGTATAAACCTACTATCTCGAGATTCCAAGGAATTAACTCCCAAAGCAACTGTACTCTGCTACTTTCCATCATGTATAAAATAGACATTTAGTGATCCTGATTCCAATATACTAATTAAACTGTAGTTTGCTTCTTTACCACATGGTTTATTATTTATTTATTTATTTTGAATGAAATCAGATTGGATGCGGATTGGGGCTTTTTTCATGGATTCTTCCGTAGTACTCCTATCAGAAAGGCTGGGCTCTCAAGTGAAAATCCCAAAACAGGATTCAACGGATAATACATTGGAGTCCGGTTGTTGTGTCTTGCGCAATGTTAAAACTGGGATCTGGATAGCCGGTATCAAGCTTGCTAAATGTTTTTATCATTTTCTTTCAATGGTTGTCACTTGATACTCTATTAACCTTGTCTTAAGTGAATTATATTCTAAATGGACTAATGTGACAGATCTACAACTTGTTCGTTGTCCCGTTTGCGACCTGAATACATGTGATGGTAGGTATCCCTAGTAACCATTCTATATCCCACTAAAATGTAGGAACCTCTTTTTATTTCAATTGTTGCAAGATTTTAGCCTGCAGTTGTATCATTTTGGTAATTGGTATGCCATACTGTGTTTAAAAATATTGGGGAATTCATAGGCTTATTTTCTTCCGAATTTCATTGAAAATTATTTTAATCTTGTTTCCAATACCTTAGGAAAGTGGAATATACTGAGAGCACATACTCTAATCAGCTGCTAATCAACCTTAGTTCAGTTTTTGTAGTAAGGGTTTTAACACATCCAAACAAAAATTCATTCTACACGCATCGTCCAGAACCTAACCTGAAAATAGGATGTATAGCTTCAGAAAGTTATCTACAATTTATTGGCTTTTGCTGATCTTGCTACTACTATTATGTAGGAACAATGCAAACGTTGGATGCCAGGCACATAGAGCTGTTCCTGAACGAAGGTTACCAAGATGGTAGTTGGGAATATCAGATTTTAGGTTCTCATGATATCAGGAAGCCTACAGAGTCAGCTTCAGGGGTCATTTTTGATGTAAAGCATCTGAAAGACTCTTCAACCTCAGGTATAGCAGTCTTTCTATACTGAAATATTACTGTCTTATTATTATTGCTAGGTGCTTCTGAAAATGATTCCTGTAACATCTTTCCTACTCTAAGTTTAATTATTTAGGATCTGTCCAGGAAAAGTAATTTTAATATGCTAGATTACTCGTGAAATTCTTGAATTATTTATCCTTTTTGAAGAAAGTACTGCGCACTGCGCACTTTCAGTTGCAAATTATATGCCATGGAAGGATGCTCTTTTACTTTCTTTATCTAAAAATTATAATCGTATAGTGCAACCTGTTTCAGCATTTGCTTAGAAGATACTAAATTTCTATATTTAGCTAAGCCTAATGATTTAACATGTTACAAATACAACACAAAATCTGAGTTCAAATTATTGCAACATCCGTTAAGTTTGTAGACGTTGAATGTTGTTATATGACATACTTCTACGTCCAGAAAATATTGAGTTACTTCACGAGATTCAATTATGAAAATTTATGGTGAAATTTGTCCCAAATGAATTGACAGGAATATTGGATCTAAAGTCATGGACAGGCAGTCGAACTGATTGGCAGCCAAAGGCAATGATTACTCTCAACGCCGTTGCCGTAAATACCTATTTACAAGAAAATGAAGGTAAATCGCCTCCAGTTTTATATGATATTCAAATCGGTGAAAAGCATTTTCTAGAATTTTCAGTCTTTAGTCGACTCGATAGAAAGACCTTTACAAGTATTTTTTTTAACAATCATCTTGGTTAAAAGCACTCTACAAATACTTTCTCACGAACCACTTAAATCCTTTTTACTTTTTTTGAAAAACAGGTAGATCACCTCGAAAAAGTACTTTTAATCGATATAAAAAAATTGTTATTAGCAAGGTTGAAAGCACCCCTAACTTGTCAATGTCTCCCTTAGTTGGTAACATTGGCGTAGTCTAGTGTTTGATTGAGATTGAGGTGTGATTTTGTAATGACGCATGCAGGAGTTCACGTGAAATACCAGGCCATGAAAGCCGGAGCAAACGGAGAGGTGGTTTCTATCAGAATCTCCCAGCAGCTACTTTAGTTCCTTCTTCAAATGCGCTTCTTTTATTATTCCTTCTTGTAACCCCCTGGAGGTCAACCCCAACCATTTCTACTCACTATACTTTGCGCCGAAGAAGTGTAATTCCCCAACAAAACAAATCACCAATTTCTATAAATACTTTTCCAGAGGAAGTGTAACCTTTCGTTAACAAGTTATGTTTAAAAACAGTTCTCTACTTTTTAAAATAGCAGTTTTTGTATGTTGAAAACTTTGTGAGATGCTTAAAAAATATTTCTTTTTCTTGCATGATTTGTTAAGTTTATTGTTCGCATATAATAATAAATTATCTTTAAAGCATAATTTGATTACGTTTTTGTTTTTATTGTTATTATTATTATTACTATGTCGTCTTTAGTAATTTAAATTATCTTTATTGTTATTATTAACTTACATTGATGTTCAAATTTCATTAAAGAAGAAGGAAAAAAAAAGCATGCCATTAATATTTACAATTTGATCTTTAGCATAAATAAAAGTTCATACAAATATTTACAATTTCCCATTAATAACTCCAATACAGAATAGAAAAATGGCCATTTTAGCTTATTAGAACTATCAAAATTGTATGGAATGTTTTCTGTACTGGTAAAAAGATTGAAAAGAAAATGCATTATGGTCTCACCCTAATATCGTAGCATCTTAATGGAGAGAAGCGCGTTGAGAATAGTAAAAAGTTGTCACTTTCTGGCGAGGAGCTTCTTTGGAAGCTTGTCCAGAGGGGTGGATTTGAGCAAGAAAAGCCTGGCCGCCCTCTCTTGCAAAGTACCTCCACACTTTAAGCCACGTGCTTGCAGCTCTGCCTTAAGCCTTTCCAAACCAAGAACCTGGGTTACAATATAATAAAGGGCAATAATATGAGAGCAGGCTTAAACTAATTAGAGTTCCCATCACTTTCTGTTCATGTTTTAACATGAACAAACAATCATGATTAGTTACAAGTCCTTCAGGCTTCAAAACTTGGGGCGTATTTAAGGAAAAGATTATAAGCACGTATAATTCACGAGGCTCAGCCCCGAAGGAGGGTGGACACGACAAAAGGGGTGGAATGGGGGATCTCATATCAATTGGAGAAAGGAATGAGTGTCAGCGAAGATACTGACGATACTGGCCGAAGTGGGGTGAATTGTAAATCCTACATCGGTTGAGGAGGAGAATGAAACATTCTTTACAAGAGTGTGAAAATCTCTCCCTAGTAGACACATTTTAAAAACCTTGCGGGAAAGCCCAAAGAGGATAATATCTGCTAGCGGTGGACTTGGGCGGTTAATCGAAGTTCTCTTTGACTGGTTAAGGTCTAATAAATGAGAAAGAAATTTGATAATAAGGTCAATGTGCATGAAGAAAAATAATCATAGGACTTCTTGAGCGTACCTCCATTTCAGCAGCAGAATTAAAGTCACCAAAACTCAGAGGTGCTTCTGAACTGCTTATAGTTGCATTTGTTTCCTCATGGTCGCTCAACTTAGACACTGGAGAGCCATTTGGTTCAGGAAGCGTGGACAAATCTTCAATAATTTGACCATTTGGATGTGAAATATGTCGAGGAATAGCAGCTACATTTTCCGAGTTGGCGATTTCAACCTCGTGAGCATCCTGTTTTACAACCTCGTCTTCTTGATGGGCAGAAACAGCAACAGCCTCTGAACAAGATACGATTGCGCCCCGAGTATTCTGATAATTCATTTCAACCTGTTCAAATTGAAAAGCTTTCTCAGTAGAGCTTCCAACTAGTTCCAGGGTTTCCTGCACTGCCAAGTCCTTTTCTTCCTCAGAACCACTTTCACATGAGGATCCACCAGAACCATCCCCACGTTTACCGAAGTTAACGGAGTCTGAGCTCCCTTCAATGTCCTTATTTAAATCGGATTGACAACCAACGTTCAAAATGGCAGATTTCTCGCTTTCCCCTTCATTTTCAGTGTCATCCTCGTCCGAATCATCACTGTCACTTTCACCCATTTTCCTCTTCCCCATCCTAGCAACCAAATAATTATTTGCACAAAGCTAAAAAGAAAATGCACAGTTAATATATAGGGAATAAATACATTTCAATCTCCAGGCTCTAAATAATTCTTCAATAGATGGCTAATAGAAGAAAGTGGTGAGTGGTGATGAGTTACCATGAGATCCCACATAAAGAAACATTCTTCTTATCGTGTGGAAGCCTATCTCTAGCAGACGCATTTTAAAAACCTTTGAGGAGAAACCCGGAAGGGAAAGCCCAAAGAGAACAATATCTATTAGCGGTGAGCTTTGGCCGTTACATGTAGATTCAATAAACGTTTACATTGCTCTCAATGTTAAACGATTGAGATCCCCAAACAAAATTTTTCTAGGGAATCTTTTTAAAGATCACGGCTATTTCTCTAGCGATTGGGCGATTGGGCGGTTACTCAATGGAGACCGTTTATTCGGGTAAGTTTCAAGGGTCCATATGAGAATTTGATTCCATCTTCTTTTAGATTTCCTAGTGGAGTTTCCAGCCAGATTTTCCCTTGGTGGCTTAATGGTGAAAATGTTCTTTGTTGGTTATATCCATCTTCTACTTCTTAATTGATAGGCCACCTTTTAATGACCAGTTTCTTTTATTTGTAGAACTTAACATCAATTACTTCCACATCTCAAAGCTGTAAAATCATTCTCCCATGGGTTCATCAACATACAAAGCACAAAGCTATCTTTCTAATATAACAAGGTTTCTAGTATCTATGGAATGGTCTCGTGGATTGATCATTTGAAGAAACCACTCCAATACACAGATAATTTGATCAGAAACATTACTTTTGAAGGTGAAACAGCTGATTTGTAATGCTAATAAACACATAATATAACACATCAAAGAAGAGGAATAGGTAAGAAACTAACCAGATCTTCAACTTTTTGGCATCCCCACCATTGGCCATCAAACCACCCTTCCTTTTGCCCTTCATCACCGCATCTCTCACGGATTCCACAACCTCAGCCACACAACGAGCAGATTCCTCCCGATACTTCTCTACGTACTTGTGCGCCGCGGAATCACCCACCCCCTTCTTCCCGACCTTCCCTTTCTTCTTCAGAAACTCCTCAGCCACCGTCTCCAACCTCCTCTCCTCCTCCTCCGCCTTCCACTCCTCCAATCGCTTCTCCGCATTCACATGCCTCAACCTTCTCCCTCTCATGTCCCTACACGCATCGAAATTATTCGTCTTCTTCTGCCCTGCTTTCGTCGCCGCCCCACGCAGCAACGATCCGAACCCTCCCTTGCCTCCCACGAGTCGAAGCAGAAGATGAATAGTCGGAAATTTTCCCGAAGGCTCACCGGAACATGATACAACCAAATCATCCTCGATCGGACGGACACCGGTGACGAGACGCTGGTGATTTGGGGGAATTCCAGTGCTCTCGTAGAGACTGTGCTTGAGGGCATGGCCGTATACAGAAGAGGAATTCAATTTCAAAGCTAGGGTTTTCCCATCTAACAACCTCACGAAGAGATTGAAAATCTCGACATTTTGACGCCTGGATACGTCGGCACCCGTCGCCTCCATTGACGTAGAGCTTCGAATTTCGAATTTCAGTTTTCCATTTAACCCGTCGCCTCCATTGATGGTTTAAATGGAGATTAAATACATAATCTGTTTAAATCCTTAAATCATTATCTCTCATCCATAATAAGACATACAACATTTTTTTTTTATTATATTTTTCTCCTTTTATTTATTTACGTCATTTATTATTTTTCTACAACAAAATCATGCTAATTTATTTTTTATTACATGCAACTTTTTCTTTTACAAGATTGAATTTTTTTAAATTTTAATTAGTAATTATTTATTATTTAGTTTCTTAAAATAAAATATTTTATTAAATAACTATACAAATAAATTTTATTTATACTTTTCTAAGACAAATTTATTTTAATTTTGTTCGTTGATGTAATTTATCTTAATTATTTATTATTTCTAATATTAACTAAATCATTAAAATATAAAATATCAATGTAAAATAAACTAGTAATAAAAAAAATTATAATTTGTTATTGGATATTATTTAGTTAAAAATACCTATTATTATATAAAAATTTTATTAAGATCTCTTATAGTTTTGTCAACGACATAAATGGGTCATTGATTTCGGTTATAACTTAATAACGAGGAAAATAATTAACTTAAAGGTAAGAAAAGCAACCTAAAGTCATAATGGACTACTTGGTTGTATGAATTAAGACATGCTTGTTTGTGTAAATTCAATGTTGTTAGTGATGTCTAAGAGGTGAGAACGAGGAAGGTTTTTTCATCCCTATCCCGGACATATATATTCGATCTTCACCTCTACAAAATTCTTCATTTATTTTTGTGGATCTTCTTTATGTATTAGCTTTATAAGTCATTCTCAACCATGATGACTTTATGAGGTATAAACCTTCGCTACGACATTAGTGGCTTAGCTCTTCGCGCTTTCCACCGACTTTTTTTTTTATAGAGAGAGAGAGAGTAGGGAACGGTACTGAATATTGGTCTATTACCACCCATCCTACTATTAGTAGCCCTTGCCCATGGCGGAACAATTTTTTTAAAAACAATCTAAAATAAATCTCAATATAACTCTCTTAAAAAACACTTATATCTCAATAAAAACAATAATATTCCATAAGCAAAAATATAATTATAATGTTGAATACTCTATTACTGTCATAATAACAATAATAGTAATAGTAGTAATAATAAATAAATAGAGCAGAGACGAGGACAAAGAATATAATCTTTGTCTTATATTTAAAATAAATGTAACCAACAAATAATAAATACAAAGTTTCTATCTCAAATCTCAAAATACAAAAATTCAGTCCCTTCAAAGATTTACTTACAAAAGTTACCTACAAAGGATGGGTGTGATATAGTAAAGTAAAGTAAGACACCCGTAGGGTTAGATTGTAGTCATGAATTGTTGGACAAGTCATGAATAAGATAGTAAAATAAGACACTCATGTGTAGGGAAGAGGACGTCAACTCTGGAGGCTATAGAATTTAGACGACATTATTTTTAAATAGAAATGTAGGGTCGTTCCATATGGTCTTGGTTCATTTACATAACTCTCTAGTCTTTTACTAGAGGGAACTACTTGTTCTGGTGTTGATTTTGATTCGGAACTGATGTATGTTATATGGAGGATCCCAAGCAGGCACATGATTCCCTAAA